ATACATAATTGATCCTGTCATTTGTTGTCATTAGGTATGTCTATGTTGTAAATAAATAAAAACCCCACAAAAAACAAAAATAATGCACAGCAAGTCTTAGCATCCGGATCTATTGACTTGGGTTCATGAGGCTTGCACTATTAGGCTAAAAATAGCACTGAAGCCTGGGCCCTGAAACCTAGTGAGGAGGGAGGGTCTCAGAGTCCAGGCTCCAGCCCAAGCAGGAACGTCTACAGCTGTATTTTTAGCCGCATGGCGTGAGTCCCGTGAGTCCCACGAGCCCCACTCACTTGACTTGGGCTCTGAGACTTGCTGCCATGGTATTTCCCCTCCCCCCCAGTATAGATGTACCCATAAAACCACACACCCAGAACCTGAGTTTCTTTTCTCAGCCAGCTCCCTCGATTTTAACATAGAAGATAATTATTTCTTCTCATTTAGTCTATTACTAAGCTAAAAACAGTTCAAAATGCCTAATCATCAGCCTGCAATCTCCATCCACAATGAGACTGCATGTCATGGTCAGGGAGAGTTGGACCAGAATTTCTTTTGAAACCTTATGGTGCAGCTTATTGACAAAAGGGTGTAGCCAACTAATTGACTTGCAGTTCAATATTAAGAATGGGCAAGAGACCAAATAACCAAGCTCAACCATATTGTCTAAAGAAAAAACAATTGGTACAGGAAAGAAAGAGTTAATACATCACCAATCCTTCCCAGGAAGTGAAGTTGCTCTGTGTGTTCAGTTCACCTTACACAAAAGATGCCCCCTTAAACTAGCCATCTTTTATAGGATGGGTGTTTACAAGTTCCAGAGCATTGTTCACATCACTTTAAAATTTAAGTTTAACTAGCCAGCTTGTGCCAGCTTTACCTTTGGTGCTACCCTGTACTTTCCCGGCTTTCGTTTGAATATTAAATTCCATACGTTGAGGGGCATGAAGATACTCCCTAATACAGAGCATTCATAACTCTTATAATTATTTCCTTGTACCATGTTGGTCCTTTGTTTCATAACACTCATCCATCTAGCTCTTGACAGTTTTTATATTTGCTTAAGCCAAGTACTGAGCTATACTTGTCCTGGGGCATCATGCCATATGTCTTCACATAAGTGAGCAAGAATAAGCCTAGTACAATTTAACATCGTTACCCAATACACGTATGTTACATTAATACCATGTGTATAATATCTATTAATGTGGTGAGTGTATAAGGGTGTGAATATATCCTGTATGTGTTGGCTAACAGTCCCCTGCTTGTCACTTTGCTGATTATATCAGGGTGATTTTTTGGATGACCCGACAGCAAGTGTGAAAAATTGGGATGGGGCAGGGGGTAATAGGAGCCTATATAAGAAAAAGACCCAAAAATCAGGACTGTCCCTATAAAATCAGGACATCTGGTCACCCTAGTGATAATTTAGCCAAATTAATATATGAAGCAAAGGTAAGGCCATTCATGTGAGATTTCCACTATTTTACCAAACTGTGTAAGTGGCAATACATGATGAATACAATTAAAATAATACTCCTTGTAATATAAGCACAACTTTAAAGATACTTCTATCCAAGTATGGGAAATTATTATTTCCAGATCGCCATCATGGATAAGGTTGTCCAAAACTTGTTCTGCTTTAAGCATGTTATCGTTAATCTGAAAAATATGAGTTGCTTTTCCTTTTAATAAGGTTTTTAAATTTAAAGTTAGTGAATCCATATGTATGTTAAAAACTGGCACATATTTTTGACTTCATCCTGGTTCTGGGGCTCACTTTGAATCATGGATTTATTTTGAAAAACTTAGATTGGCTGAGATGATAGAGTAAGACTTTTACAATACTATGTACATAAGGAGTAAAACAAATTTGGGCTAGTAACATTAGAGACAAGGATTCCATACCATTTTTTTTTATAATTAGTCACTACACAATACTGTCTAGCCATATTAGATGTCACACTCACTGCTGGCATCACCACTTGGTATGCGTCACAGTGCAGGAGCCAGTATGGGCTAACTTTCCTATCTTGTTGTACTGGTACAGACCTGCATGGCCACATACTATAGTAGCACTGTCAAAGCCATCGCACTGGTACAGGTAGCCTCCTGGCTGGCTCACCACTATTCAGAAAAGTGTGTAGCCAACTAATTGACTCTACTTGCGGGTCAATATTAAGACTGTTCAAGAGACCTAATAACCAAGCTCAGCAAGTTCATTGTCTAAAGTCAAAGAAATACGGGAAAGAAAGAGTTAATACATAACCAATCTTTCCCAGGCATTGCAGTCTTGTTGCATGTTCAGTTCACCTTACACAGAAGATGTGCTTCCCTGGGTGATTGTTACTCCTGTTTGCCCTGGACATACAATTTTCTTAAGCTGAGTTGCAATACTGTCAAGGACTGCTGTCCCCTTTAAAGCTGTCCAGTAAAGCTGCCTTGGCTACAGCTCATGGCAGAAGTTTCTTTCTTTTATAAGTGGTGCAGCTTGCCATAAGATTACACTCAACTAGCATGTAGAGTTATAGAATCCCCTCTCCGCATATGCCCTACGTTTTGTGCCACAAAGGTTTAACGTTTTAATGCATGACCTATGTATCACAGAAGCATTTAGTCTCTCATCCTGCCTTACTCTAAATCCCACTATAAAATTGTATTCCTCTAGCATTACTTCACAGGCATTACCTGCCTGGAGAACTTGGTCCCATTTTTAGATGCTGAATAGAGTCCCTGATTTCCTCGGTAGTGTTATGCAATCTCCTAAAAACATAAGTAGGGTCTCTCTCTCTGTGTCTGGTGAGCTGTATGGACCAGCAAGTCCTGGCATATTTTCCCTATTTGAGGCCGCCTGCTTAGCAACTTCTTTAGAGGGACCCTTCAGGTCTGTGATGCTGAGTGATGCATCAGTAATGGAAGTTGTTTCCTATAAATGCCATTTTCCAGGTAACCTATGGAATGGACAGTAACCGACTATATTGCAGTGTCAGTATCTAATATTGGTACTGATACCATAAAAGAAATATACATAGAACCAGATACTAAGCAAGGTTGTTTTGAATAACATAAGCCTTAAATAGGATGCAGTGGTCACTGATCCCAAATTACAAATTGTGCTACAGGGAATTTAACACACAATATAACACCTTCCCAATCCACTTTAGTTTTTGCTATGGAGGACAACACTATCTACCTAATTGTTCATCATTAATAAGGTCTGGTAATTTTTTTCAGTATTCTCTAATGACCTGGTTATGGTGGGTAATGCATAATTCCCATAAGCGGTGCAAATAACTTATCTAACTTCTTGATTTTCCGTGACCTTTTTATTTATTTGTTTGTTTCAATTATTTGGTTGCTTTGCTATTGGCCCTAGAACTGATCTTCCAGTTCACAGCTGTCACGTTGGGGTGGGGTGTGAGTGACATACCTACTCTTTGGTTACACTTCAGTCTCTGAAGCTCTCGGACCAGCACCTAAAAAAAATTCATCAAAGGAATTAAAAGAAAAAAAAACTAAGAGCGCTGCCTGCTAAGAGACCTGAGACTCACCCCCACTAAATAACTCACAAGAAAGGGAGTGAGGTGGACCCAGGAATCTACCTTACATGTCTTATAAGGCTATCATTAGATCACCAGCCCAAAAGGCTCCCTCCCACCTCCCCTTTTAAACATTTGTGTCTCATTAGCTCATGACAGATTACACAGGTTGGGGGATATAATCTCATGCAGCATGACTCAATATAATTTCTTGTTTTAAAGAAGTTTCCTGACATATATAGAAGTTTGCCTAGGATGATTGACTATCCATGCTACTTGCAAATCAGCAGGCAGCCTGCTGGCCAATTACCTGAGTATTTTCTCAAGTACAGTAGTTTTGCACAATTATTGTACCAGGGTGGTTCTTCTGCTTACATAAAAGGTTATAGAACATGAAAAATAACAAAAACTGACATATTTTTCTCATACTCAAGTGGTATTTTTTCAAGTGGAACAAGGGGGACTTAGTGAAATAATCATTGCTCTTTGACATACATGACTGCAGTGAAATCATATTACAAAAGGCACAGAAGGTCTATTGCAGCAGAGCATGGTTAGTGCTTTAGAAATATTTTAAAAGACAGAGCAGATGTCAGATAAACTTGGAGCACTGAAATTCTGTCTCAGGCCACTAGATGGTGATCCTTGTAAGTTGGGGCTCAGGTAAATACATAATGAAGGTTAACGCTCTTAGAGATTTTAAAAAATCATATAATTTGAATAAGAAAAATCAGTTAAAATGCAAAATTATTTGTATCATTAAAATAAAAAAACAAGCTACACAGTATTGTAGGGAAGTAGTTCTCACTTTTCCACAGTCGGACCTCAAATTACAACATAAAAACAATTTGAGGATCCCTCTCTCTTACCATCTAGCCACAGAAAAAGGGATGAACAGGGCCATGACATCTCAATCCTGTTTGCAGTATCCAGCATGAGAATGAACCCATGCTGTAGGATTATAAAAACTCTTGCACAAAGAATATTGCAAAGCACCTCAAGTTATTTTGATACCTTTTGCATCAGCATGTTTAAAGCTTATTTGTATTTCTGTTCCATTAATATTTTGAAAACATAATTATGAACAAAGGAAAAGGAAGATATAGGACTTAATGATAGAAATGTTTTATTAATCAAATATATTTACATTTTTGTTTTTTCTTTAAATGTGTGCCTTTTTCATTTAAACACTGGTAATCTTTACAGTTTATATCACAAGAATAAAGCTACATGCATGACTTAATTGGTCCTTTGCAGTAAAAAAAAAAAAAGACGCAATTTTATGACGTTTAAAAAATGCAAGCAAGCTGTTTACCATTCTAAGTACAGTGCCATTATTATTCTTATTACAACAAAGGACCCTTCCAGCATACTGTACACTTACTGCATGGCTATTTGCCCTTTTGTAGATTGGCTTGATGATGTCTAAACTTTCAAAAATGAGACAAATCAGAGGAAAAAGACAGCACAATTTCAAATGTTTTATTTTATGGAAACTCATATACAGAAGGTATTTGGATGCAACAAAAAAGTGCACTAAGGATAAATTTAAAATAAGTCATAGCAATACATAACTTTCAAAAGTAGTGAGGACTCTTATCACTTTTTTATTTTCAAATATTTATCATTTAGAAACCACATCTGTTTGGCACATATCAGACAGCCATATACCCTAATGGCACCATACAAGTGATAAATAACAATTTTAAAAAGAGATAAGTATACCAAAGAAAGTAACAGATCCACACATCATAGCCTTTGTGTTTTTAGTATCTAATGTGCTGTAATTATTACATTGCTCAAAGCTCTGTTCTTGTTCAAAAGAAAACAATCATTTTGTTATTTTAAAAGTTCATATTATTTGTCAACTGTGATTTCTTAAGGGGCTTGAAGCTTTTCTAAGAAGTGTGTGTGAGGGAGAGAAAGAGACTTCATTCTGTGTGTATGTGAACATTAGAAATGTATACAATTTTAGATATATTGTAAAAGATTTTGGATTTTGCAGTATTGGAAGAATGTTATACTTGTACATATTTACCAAACTTCAAAAGGGAGATTGCAACAGTTTCAGAAATTCAGAAATGGTAGGCACATAATTATTACTGTTTGAGGTAATCATACTTTACTTACTGTTTTAATTCCCTGTGTTCAAGCATATAAAATTATATCCTTAATGGTCCCAAATGCATAATTACTACATCGATACCCAAAAAGAAACTCACTCAGCATTCAGTAAGAGTAGAAAGAAACTAGATTTTGTTTAGTTCAATTCAGGATGCGTTTTAGCTTGTCAATACTCTCAAGAACAGTTTTACATTTACTATATTGTAATAGATGCATACTGTTGCACTGAATAACTTGAGAGCGAAACACCCACTCTGAAATCATGTATTTTTTTGCACTGAATTGCATTTGTATGCTACCAACTATATTGTGAAAGTGCCTTAGTAAAGCAACAATGCAATAATTAAAAATGTGCTTGGGAAACAGACACAACATAATGAATAAAATGTCCTTTGGAAGTACAAAATAATTCCTGCAAAAATTATGCTTTTCACTGGTATGTTTAAAAACAAATCCCAACAAACTCCTAAAAGAATGCAGTTAGTCTTCAAATCTTTTGGGCCACATCCAAGAAAGCACTTTACGGCAATTATAAGCACATGATTAAGGCCATCGCTTTTCAGCAATGGAGTTATGCACAAGTTAAGTACATGCTTAAGTGCTTTTCTGAACTGGCCCTTAAAAACTACTGCAAAGCATAGGCCTGACCTTGTGAGATACTCAGTGCTCTGAACTACCACTGATTTCACCTCATAGAAAAAGAAAAGAATACCTTGATAATACAAAATCACAGTTTGCTGATACAACATGTAGCTTACATTTGCCTCTCAGAGTTTAGCATATCTCATTTCTCACCTAAGATGCAAAACCTACTTATTTCTGCAGTTTATGATGAAATAATTCCATAATTTACAATAGTGATGAGAGTCTTGCTCTGTTCAAGTGCTGAATAGGACCGTTGCATTATATTGGGATTATTTCATTACTAAACTAGAATAATGTGTGTGCATCACGGTACCAACAAAGATGTGCTAAAAGGTTTAGAAGCCGTTCTGGTCTTTCTAAAGTAGAGATGGCCCCAATCCAAACACTCCCAAACGTTAGGAAAATACAGATTTAGTTCTGAACTTTGCTGCTTAAGCCAATCACTACTGTGAATAAAATGATGCTTAAATTCTGACCTTTAAATTGTAATATTTGATACCTAACTATCCATGTTACGTGGCTCTCATCCTATAGAAAATCAGATGAATACTAGACTAGAACCTCAAATAATTCAAAGGATAAATCTGGATAAGCATCCATAAAGTTAGACTCTTACCCAAGCTTATCAAAATTTCTTTAATCTAGAAACAGGGCTGGAAAACTCAGGCGGAAAATGCCTTTTTACTATATTTCTGCTACTTTCTGATTTTGTAACTGAATACTTATAAACAACTTGAAAATTAGGACCGGGCAAAAAGAATTAATCTGTTTTTCGTCACAAAATTTCACAAAACAAAATTACAATTTTGCCTCCATGACACAGCAAGACCCCCAGAACTGGCTCTATCCCATTATCTTAAAATTGCAGTGTTTGCAATGAAACAGAGAACATTTTAAAATATTAAATGCAAAAATTGATCTTTTATTAAAGAAAATTATGAAATTAAAACACGTCAAGGTTTATCCTTGAAAAGAGACCATTTTTGAGTGAAAATTAGCCCAGAAAATTCAGCCTTTTTTTGTTAAACTGAACCCATTTAAAGAATTGTTGAGGTTTTTAAATGATGCTGTGAATACTTCAAACAACCCTTAATGCAAGACCACACCAATGTGGATGAAACACTGAAAAATAATATAGAAACTGACAAATAGAGTATCTTGACTGTGAACTGTTATGGTGTAGTATTGCCAGCAATAAGATAGGAAGAACACATGGCTACAAATGACAAGTATTTCTATCATTTTATTGCCCTTCATTTGCCAATACCGCCTCCTTTTTTCTAAACTCTCCCTTCTCCAGCACTGGAATCCCACATTCCTGTGAGTACAAGCTCCGAAGTAGGTAGGACACTCATTTTCCTAGTGGGATCCCAATGTGCACTTAGCTGTTGAAGAAAGCTTGTGTACCGTATATTGGGTGAAATCCTGGGCTCATTGACGTTAACAGGAGTATTGCCATTGACTTCAGTGAGGCCAATATTCACCCCTTGTATTTATAAATAACGTTAGGAAGTCAAGATCCAGCATATCTCTGATTACCTCTGCTCTGGATTGCTGTGCGCTCATGTTTCTTTACCATCTTAGAATAACACACAGAAATATCAACAGAGCTGTGTGGAAAGAAAGGTTAGTAGTCCTGTTTGATGGTGGTTGATTTAAAGAGGCACTGCTTTGCGCAGTCTTGTTTTTGAGCAGAAGTCACCATTGAAACTGATGAGGGCATGCTGCCTAATATCTGATGAGATGATATGACAGTTGCATCAGTGCCTACCAACTCAGGAGACTAAGCATCGCTTTAAAGATGAGTAAGATGTAACCAATACTCTTGCCTCCACAAAGGACGTTACTTACACATAAACATTTACTCTTTTAAAAAAAAAATGAACTGGATCCAGAGGGATATATTTTTAATCCTGAATGCTTTAAGGAGTACCGGTTAAAATCCTGGCCCTGCTGAATCAATGGCAACATTCTCATTGTCTTCAGTGGGGCAGGATTTCACCTAATGTGTGCAACTGCCAATAAAATCACATCGCATTAGCTGTGTCTGTTCAGAAAGTATACAGCCTGAAGGTGTTTAGCCTTTCCTGTATGCACACACTAAGTACTCTATATTATTGTCTATATATCTTTATGAGGGCACTTCTTTTCTTGGTAAATGTGTATAAACTCCCTTTAGCATTAATGGGCATTAAGCTCTTGGGTTGAATGAAAATTAGGTAGAGATCTCTAAAGTGACTGCAATGAAGCCACACACAAGACACCTGGATTCAGGTTTTCTTACAATCTTAAAGCTGGCTGAGTTTGTTGAAAGTTTCAAGTGACCTGGGATTGCTTTCAAATGAACCTGAGCCAATAAGGTACAAATATCTGGACACTGTAAAATAGGCTACAGTAGACTTTTGATTAACAAATCATTACATCAACCTCCCAAATAAAATCTAATCCTTTTTGTTTTGCTTCTCACTGTAGGACTTTCAGATAGAGAATTTATTAACATTAGATTTTTACTGAAAACACTTTCTCTCTTTTTAAACAGTGATATTGTGTTTCAAAGCTCTACGTGTTACAATATTTTCCTTGCTGATAGTCTTACACAACTGTATATCTATAGACATGAAAAACATTTCTTGTTTGGTTTTCCAGGAACTTTGTACCAGGACAAAATTGTGTAATGAAACCATGTACATGGAAAAAGTGTGCAAAAATGTAAAGTTTGGAACCATGAAATGAAATGTCCTTTGGTCTGAGGAACTGGACACTGATTCAGATATGGTTCTAGATCACTTTCCATTGCACCATTCAGACACAAGAATTTCTATTATAGCTATGTCAAGACCAACCCAACCAAATATAAGGACTATTTCTGGGTCCTTTGAATCATGCTCCAAAAAAAGGTGCAACAATAAACAAGTCCATGTGCATTCGCAGTCATAACTATAGGCAGAAGAACCCTTGAGATTCCTCGCTTTGGTATTAAATAACAATTATAAATGCTTTTAGAAATAAAGCAATACATGGTGGGACTTGAAATGTTAGCAGTCCCAAGTTATTTGTCCATTGAAATAAGTCTCATCCCTAGTCATAAATAAATAATCTCTTTCCTGGTCTTACTTCCATGCCAGGATCAATATCTTTTAACATCTTACTTATTTTATTACTGCTTTTGGTTTTCTGGGACTGATTGAAAGTTGCTCAGAGGAAATCTTTGGTTTTGCTTAAGTGTCCATGACATTTAATCATGACTTTCCTTGCAGTTTAATTCCAACCAGTCAATCAGTTAATCCACTTCAATTGATTCTGTGCTCTCTGTTATTGGCTTGCACTCATTGGGCATCCTCTGGTGTCGACTCAGCTGGGTGGCTTGTGTGAAGCTCCTCTCACACCTCTCGCACCTGGTGAAGGCAAGAGAGAAAATTGAGACTGGGGAGCTGCTCTTGCGGGGAGGCAGGGAGTGATGGGCTTTGTCTCATCCTGTCTAATCAGAACAGACACTCAAAAGTGGCTTCAGATTTTACCGGCTCAAGAGGTTTAATTGGTGGCTACTTCCAAGGCCTTGATGCCTATGATGGGACAAGGCCTGTCTGATTCAGAACAGAGGAATCTGTCAATAGACAGGGGGAAGGTGATTTCTCCAGAGAGGCCTGTCCTGCTGTAGCTCTGATCACTGTCAGTTCAAATAGATAAAGAACAAAAAGAGATTTTTAGGAGTGAGCCATCAAAGCAGCAGCTTGGCTGCAGTTTTCTGCTCTATAACCCCTGAGGAGAAATTGATGACAAATAGAATTTCACCTTCTGCTAATTTAAAAATAAGAAATTCACCTATTGGAAGAAGAGAAGCTGTAGAGCAATAATTGCTTAGTGTAATAACAAGAGAAAAACTCTGTATTTATCTATTACTATATAGTTGGGTTTACTTTAAACAATCTGGTAGGATTAGTGCTTGGTTAATCAATTGTCTGAAAACATCCACAGCATTTGATATAGTTGGGGGGAGGGGGAGAGAAGAACTCTTAATCAGCAGTGTGTGTTTCATTGTCTTTTAAGTCTTTTCATTACCCTTCCCCCCTCTCCAGTGAACTACAATGTGTGGCAAAATAATCCGAGAATTAAGAAATGAAATTTGAGGGAAAAGAAAAGGGGTTTCTCTAGTTCAGAATGAGTCATCTGGCCTTCTAGTAAAAGAGAATCCCTTGTGTATCTAATATCAACTTCTTTACATATTGTGTCCTCTTAATTAGCACTGAGAATGCTAGATATAATTGTATAATGAGCTAGGAATACAGCAGATTTTTCACTGTAAGACGCTCACTCATAAAGCGACCATTAATTTAATGGAGCTGTGTGATGTTTTATCTTCATCAATAAAAGCATCACTATAATGAATTAATTCCCCAGCTTCAAAAAGTGAGGAAAACAATGGCCTGTTACCTTGTATCCATCTTTCTCTCTTCAGTGATATAAATTAATGGTTCACAACCAGAGGTACACATGCCCGTGGGGCTATGCAGAGATCTTCTGGTTGGTCCACCAACATATCTAGATATTTGCCTAGTTTTACAACAGGCTACAGAAAAAGCACTAGCAAAGTCAGTACAAACTAAAATTTCACTCAGCCAATAACTTGTTTATACTGCTCTATATACGGTACACTGAAATATAAGTACAATATTTATATTCCAATTGATTTATTTTATAATGATATGGTAAAAATGAGAACATAAGCAATTTTTCAGTAATAATGTGCTGTGACACTTCTGTATTTTTATGTCTAATTCTGTAAGCAAGTAGTTTTTAAGTGAGGTGAAACTTGGGGGTACGCAAGACAAATCGGACTCCTGAAAGCGGAATAGTAGTCCGGAAAGGTTGAGAGCCACTGATATAAATTATTGAAGCTGATTTATTACAGGATTTGCCATTTACAAAAAGAGTAAGAAGGTATTTACATATATTCATAATTATGGTATGTTCTACATGTTAGTAATTAAAAAAAAATGTTTAGGAACCCAGGGCACAGATATTATTCATTCATCTGAGCTATTGTACCAGCATAGAATGTCAACATCCGTACATTGTGTTTCTTTGATTGTCTTTCTGGGAATATTTTTAGCAGCCTGTTCTACTGTTAAAAACTGCACTGTGATCTTGACAAATGTAAAATGTCAGCGTTAGGTCTGATACATTATCAGCTCAATGAAAATAACTCAGAAGTATTGATTGCCTAATGATTTTTGGTGTATTCATTAACGTCTATGTGCAGATCATCCTCTCTCCAGAGCTCCTGAAGTGCTGATGACACATTAGTGTATTGCTGATTGTTTATTAGAAAACTGATTAGTTACTGGATTAGTATGTCAAAATATACTACTTTTCATTACTTGACAAACTTGCAGATTATATATCTATATAAAAAATCATGAAGGAACTGGAATCAGTTTTGGTGCCAGGATTAGTTTAGGCTATACGAGTCACTGCAATTTCCTCAACTTTGCATTTTGTTATTTGATATATGACTCGGTGTGTGTGTGTGTGTATTATAGGTTATGTTTGTATTATGCTGTACATACATTCTAGATCAATACAGACCTATGTAGATCTACACAGCAGTGTTTACCTACATATTCCATATATGATATATGTAGGCTAAGATTTTTCAAGCACAGGCCTGTAAAATTAGGCTTCTAAATTAATGTTTGGACACACACAATGTGGCTTGATTTGCAGAGGTGTTGAATAAACCAGAAATCCCACTATAGTTGATAGGAGCTGAGGGTACATACAATTTTTGAAAATCATGCTACTTGTTTAGGTGCCTAAATAATTTTTGGTATCACTGTCTTGAAAGCAGTTTGAAAAGTTAAAAGTCCATTGCTAAAAATGTGGACCAGGAAAGAAATCACTTCAATATCAAAATATTTAGTGAACCAGATTGTTTACAAATGTTAATTTTGTATGTGTGGCTGATCATCTTTAAGGCCCGGTATACAACAAAGCACTTTATGCGCATATGTAATCCGATCCCTATTCAGCAAAAACCTTAAACTCATGCTTAAATCCCATTAAAAACAATGGGGGTATGCACATGCTTACTTTGAAATGCTTCAAATTAAAACATTCAAGTGTTTTGCTGGTTTGGGGCTAGGTTGCTCAGCACACTGGAGGATCAAGCTGTAAGTAAATATCCAGATATGAACAGATGAGGTGGGCCATCACAACCATCAGTATCACAGTCTTAGGATAACGTAGAAGGAAAGAAAAACAGAAAGTGGACAGTGTATAGGAAATAATGTTTCCAGGATTGTGCTGTGGGTTTTTTCTGTAATGGCTGTCCTTCCCCACATACTCTCTGTAAAGTAACTGGTGTAGTATGCTGTATTCTTCAAATGGACCAACAAAGACAGATACATGCATATATTGAGCCACAAATGTTTAATGTTGTGCACTAGTTAAGTAAACTGATAATTGGCGGGGAAGGCGGCCGGCATCTAGTATATGTGGAAGCAAACGTGTTCCTTAAAAAACAACAAGGAGTCTGGTGGCACCTTAAAGACTAACAGATTTATTTGGGCATAAGCTTTCGTGGGTAAAAACCTCACTTCTTCAGATGTTCCTTAAAGTTATTGCAGAAAGAGAGACAATAGTTCAGCTCAACAGTGATCACTCACAAGGGTTAACACATAGATCATAACCCATCCTGATTCTCTCTGAGATTTTAGGCGAGATTTTTCAGACCAGCCTCAACAAAATCTTTATTTTTGAAGGTGAAGGTTTGTTATTACATAATGTGGCTGTAACTATTAGTAGTTATTCTTCCTACTACCTGCTACGAAGGTGCAATCAGAGGGGACAGATGTTCTGTACAACCACTAATATTTATTTCTAAAATGCATTGTGGGTTTCATTTACCCCTGAGCAGAAGGCCAACAAAAGAGCCGTGTACTAAAATTCCATATAAGCTATTTGAGAGCCCTTTGTGGGACTTAAGTGGTCCCTAGGCCCCATGTCAGGCCCATGCACAGGAATGATTTAAAACTGTGCCACCAAGTTAGAGGCCATTACTGAAAACTGGATCCTTGTTATTTTTCATATTTTGAAGGGATTGTTGTTTTGAATGAAATTGGACAGCTGTTATACCATCATATTTAATGGCACCATATGCAAGATGTAGCAGGCTCTTGCCTTATCCACAGCACATCTCTCTCTTTTACTAGTTTGATTAAGGGGGGGGGGGAGAAGAAAGTGTACATACTTTCGCTTTGCTCAATAGTATGGCTGGTTTTCTAAAGGTCTCAAACAGCATTGACATCATGGTGGCTTTTCAGGAAGTACTGTTTGGCTAGATAGTGCCCATGTCACTGTTCTCCTAGTTCGCTGCACAGTACCCTGTCACTGTTAGTGGTTGTCACAGCAGCAACATCATGTTCCTTTAACTCATCTTTAGCTAGTGTCACTGAACTGGAAGAGACTGTGGGAGTAGAACGTAAGATAGTGACTTGGTCAATAATTTTCTGTTTTTTCCCAACTTTTAGTATGGTTGAGAACTTTGTTCCAGATTAAGAGCCATAGTGGAGACTTCAGTGAGATAAGAATACATAAAACATTACAATGATGAGGCTCAGTTCATAGCTTGTGACGACAGAAAGAAATCCCTTCCAACTGGACCTGCTGCCCAGACAATGTAGCGAGGGCTTTGATTACACATAACCTCTCTTAGCTTTTTTTTAATCGATAGGGAAATGCAAATAGAAAATTCTCACACACACATACAGCTAGACCTTGCAGCAAAAGAACCTTCTCCCACACCAAACCAATCACAGACTACCCCTTTAATAATAATTTTTAAACAAATTGTGAAGGGATTTTAAAATATTTGTCTTTTTCAAAATTGTGAGCACACAATTTTACATGCAAAAAAGGACATGAAGTTGTATAACTAATCTATGTGCATAAGCACTGTGATTCTGTGTGTATTAGGCCAATATTTCATAAAAGGCTAGTTAAATGCTTAACTGGCCCTTTACATGAGCATTAGTCGGTTTGCGCATGTAATCACATTAACTGTACATGCATGTTACTTGTGTGCACATTTCAGCTGTGAAATTGCATATGAACCATTTTTAAAATTTACACCCATGATATTTTTAAAATAATTTCGTTCAAATTTTAATCAAAAATGTTCTGTAACTTAGTCCTAAAAATTAAAAAAACACCGGAATACCAGCAACTTTCTGAACATATATCAATTATCTCTTTTGTTAATTCCAAGAATATTCCCAAAGCCTATTCAGCCAGAATACGTTAAATTCTGTCTACATTGCCATGATTGTCTGTCCTTTAGGAGTAGGGAGAGTTTAAACCAACGGACTTTTTAGTTTTGCACTTTTTAAGTAAGCATATGCTCAAATCCCTTTTGTAAATATATATATTTTTAAAGTACATTGTGAAGCAAAACCACAAAAATTGTCTTTGAACCATGTACTACTCCTTGATATTTTAAAATGGCCTCAGAATGTGTTTGGGGTTTTTTCCTTTTGTTTTTTTATGTTTGTTTTAACTTTAGTATCAAGCCCTCAATTACTTCTTCTGGTGGAAGATTTGGCAGCAACCTGGAAGGATCTGAATGGTGGTGATACACAAAAACAATAGTACTGATCTTTTAGATAGCCCTTTTCATCAGTAGATCTCAAAGTAATTGATAATCTTTTTAATGTATTTATCCTTACAAAACCTCTGTGAGGTACATAAGCTGCAGCTCTGTCTCTCCCCTCAACTGAGGGGGAGGGTAAACCGATTTCTGGATAATCTAATGCCCACCCTCCTGCATGCTGGTCCGCATGAGTGCGGGGGTCTGCACTTGTGGGGAAGCTTGCAGGATCAGCACATAAGAATATGGATCCCCTCCTCTGACATCTGGGGACAGGGAGAGTTGGAGCTCCAGTTTAGCTCCATGTGACATCACTATTCAGGGTCCTCCAAAGCTCTTGTAAAGACCTTCAGCAAAAAACAGAGAAATTAGAACTGATGTTTCTGTATTAAGCAGGTTAAAAAATCCCTAAGACAATTGTACAATGTTGTTCTTATCCATCGTAAGGAAGCAGTTAAGGGTGTGCACATGTGCGCATACACAAACATTTATTTATATATTTCGCTACTCTGCAGTTCACCTTTAAGAAATGGCAGAACTATATTGTCAAGTACATGTATGTCTTAACATGAGAAACAAAAGAAACAAAAAACAAAACAACACCCCAGAATATCTGCTAATTACATAGTACTTAACTAAGCACTTTCTTTCAAGAATGAGATTGTGGTGTTGTCACAAAGAGCATTATGGAAAAGAAAAAAAATCACCAGACCAAAGGGGGGAAAATTAATGATTGTAAATGGGGCAAAATAACAGCTCTATTGGAAACATGACAAAAACAGGATGTTAAGAAAAAAAATTAAGTGGAGTCAACAAGGTTACACATAAGTAACACCTTAACATTAAAAGAAATCTATTTTCCACTTTGACCTGGAAACCTCTTCAATTAATTACTAAAATCTATTTACACAGCAACTAGATAAAAATCAATCTAATGGCCAGCACTATTTTTGGCTCTCTTTCTATGGGCTCTGTTCACTCAAGATACTGGCTCTGTGTGGGTCATTGTTGAGGCTGCAGGATTCCATGACTTGACACCCACAAAGCTGTCCTCTTTTCTATTCCTGGTCCCCAAAATCTACTGTATGGAATATGCCCAGAATTCTTATTCTTGTCCTTCCATTCCCCAGCACACACATACATGGAGGCCATGCTTCTCTTGTGGCCATATATGGAGGCTGGCCAACTCTGATGGAATCTTGCTATGAGGAGGTTCAGTGATTGACAGAAGCTCTCTTACATTAGGCAGGCATAAAATACAGGAAAAGAAAAATCATGTTGAGTGAGGGCACATAGTGAACTGGGAAAGACACTCTCTCCCTTCAACTCCTTATTTCCTCATCCCCAGGTGAAGAAGACCAGGTATTTTACAGAAAAGAATGGTTTGGTTATTTTTTCCCAAGGAGGTATTGGTTCCAGGCAGAAAATTATATGAATCCATGTCTCTCAATTCAGCTAAGAGAGGGACACTTTTTACTAATGCACATTTTCTTCTATAAGAGCCACCTAGATTAAGTAAGGAGTTGGTCAGAGCAGAGTCCTTTATCTGCATGAAGTAGAACCTACATTAACCAACTGTGCACCAGCCTCTCAAATACACAAACAAACAACAAATTTCTGTGGCTTGGCAGAGTGTTGGGTTTTATTTTAAGTGAATAACTAGGTAAGGTAGATAACTGATTTCTGTACTCCTTAAAAGTGCAGAAGCCTGCAGATCTTGTTAAATCCCCTCTTTTATCTGAATTTATACCTCTTAAAGAAGTCCTTCGTGAAATGTAGATAATAAAGGTCTCACTGTGTACATGTACATTGAAACCTGCACTAAAGGTATGGCTACATGTAAATCACTAGAACTGCAGAGACAGTTACAACAACAGGTAATCACTTGTCCTAAGCCACAAAAATTCAAATTTAGATTTCCAACCCTACCAAGTTTGGGTGTATTCTGATTTCAGGTTTGGGATTGGCCCATTATAGAGACAGTGACATTCAAAAAATCTGAAACAAGGTTTGTTTCCAAACACCCAAGGAACATTTGAATTCGGAATGTTTGTATCAAGGATTTTGTTGAACTATATTCAAAGTTTCCAGCAAATTGAAAACCACCTTGACTGACAGCTGATTTTCTCTGCTCACTTGGATGGCCATTGCATTTGCAAATTATTTTTATGAGTTTACTAGAGTCATGTCATGGGATACACATAGTATTTTTCCAATGGTCCTGAGTCTATTTTTCTCTGTATGTGATTAACAGTTACAAATTAACTGGTATATGAGCTACTTCAGAGTATTGACAAAACAGGATGAACCATATTATGTCTGTTACAGCACAGTCTCGACCCATCCTTTTCAGTTTGTCAGACATTTTCAACTAAGGTTCTCTAATTGAGAGACAATTGTTAAACTGCTATTTAAATTAAAACAATCAAGTTTTGATTGGATGACAGGCATTTGCTCTGGGCCATACATGTACTAGGTATCTGCATACATGCCTGGTTTGATTCTGATTTCAGTCACACTGCTAATGAGTCTGTCTGGAATCTTGACCTTGTCTTTCAAAAGAAGCTCTCCCATGGGCTGTTATGGGTGGACAACTGCTATGCCTTTCCCTCTCTGCTCACTGTTGATCAACATTGGTAGCTTCAGTTACTTACTTAAAGGGTTTTTCCCCCGTATGCGTCCGGATATGATTGTTCAGTGTTGTAGCACCAGCAAAGGCACGGCCGCAATAGCCGCACTTGAAAGGTCTGTCACTGGAATGGGTGACTACGTGGTTCCTGAGCTCTGAAGGTTGGGAGAAGGATTGGGAGCAGTGGCCACACTGATAGGGTCTGCAAAACAACAGAAACACCACATGATCACTACTTTCTATTTCAGCAAATAGAAAACAACTTGGGTGGTGCAAACTAATTTTTTCAAATTAATTTCTTAGTTTTCAAAGAGGAGTCTGGATGTGAATCTCTGGATCTATAGTAGGAGACATGCAAGCCCCCCATCCCCCATGAATCACTGTGCAAATTTAGAGGACAGAATCCATGTACAGAAACTGCCAGAGATCCTACAAGGCCCCTACAAAACCCCCAATATAATCATAAAGTATTCTTCAGGTATACACAAAACCTGGATTAGATTATATGTCTGATTTTTTAGTTTCCTCAAACTAAGGGCCCAATACCGTATTCCTTATTCAATGAAAACTCCCTCTAACAGAGGGATTTGAGCCCTATGCTAGCAGACTCAGAAAGTCCTATTCCTCTCTAGCATTAGTGCAGTCTTAGCTAAAAATTTTACCTGTACTTGTCACTGGTATATCCCAGATTGGTTTCTATGACCATTTGAAAATATTTTTTTTCTAATCCCTTGTACACTCCAAAAATTCCAGCTCTTTAAAGAGGAACTTTCACAATGAGACAAATTTAGAAAACAATCACAAGCTTTTGCTTTTCCTATTATTTTTCTGTATTCTTGCTGCTATTGAAGACATTTGCATTTAATTAATAGGTTTTTCCATCCTGGCCTGGATTTTCCTTTTGTGTGATCCTGAAATGAAATCATAATTCTGTTTTTGTGACATCTTAATTTCTTGCAGTGAACTGACTGCCACAAGTTCAGAATTATAACATCATCACTACAAACTCCAGTAGAAAGAAGAGGGTGAGAGACAGAAGGATGAGACAGGACAATCGTTTGAGTACCAATACCATTACTAACTTGTTAAAGTGGCAAAAAGTGTTTTGAGAAACATATACAAAGTAAATCAATTTCTGTTTTGGCAAAATAGATTTAATTTCCCTCCTTTACACAAGTCTCTCTATGTCAAAACGATTTGGTAAACTACTTCAATATTTGGAATGCTTTCTATCTGTTATGACATTTAAAGTAAATCAGTGGCAGGTCCTATTCCGTTTATCAAACTTTTTTTTAAAGAAAATTAAGAATGTCTTCAGGGATATTAATGATTTTTATAGAGAGCAGCAATTCAGGGCACAACTCTTGCTGTCTGAATTTTTAGAGCCAATGGCCAACACAGTCTTAATTGCTCTCTCTTTAACAAATGTGTATGTTCAAATAGCTAGAAACCATAACTAAAGGGAAGGAGATAGTGGTGACCAAGCATGTACAACAATTCAATTAAGTGCAAAATAAAGTGTACCCTCTCATTTGTCAAGTGAGCTGCTTAATTGTGTCTGCTTGCATCGCTGATCACAAATACTATTATTTTATAGTGCTTCAGAGTACTGAGCACTGATTGTAGAATTTTTTTTTGCTTGATTAATAGTCTGGTATTGGTCAATAACTCAATACTATACAATTTTAATTACTTACATTTGAAAATCTATCTAACTGCTTTTAAAGAAGTTTGAAAGATACATATAAAAGTTGTGGAAAGGTTACCTGGTCTGAATGATTATACTAACATTGTTTCCCCTATTCCCTTTAAAAATTATATAAATGCATGTAAAATAATATATTTTAAATAAACACTGATAACTAATGTATATCAATTACCATTGCTGGAAGACAAGAGAAATATGTTTTTCTGCTTTACTGCTTCTTCAAATGCATTGTTAACGGATAAGGAAATTATTTATCAAACAGATATGTAAATTCAGGCTTTTTTAGGATTAAACATTTTTAAGCAAAAATAATATATTAAGATATGCTGTATCCATGAACAATTGATTTTCTAATAGTGAAAGGGACCATTAACGTTTATTAGCCTCTGGTTATCTATTTTTAACAGCTCCCATAATAAACAATAAGACACTAAATAAAACCAATTAATCTTTTATTTTTTAACAACAGTCAATATGATTAATTTCACATTGTGAGAAGTCACACCATTCTTTGTATGTAAATACTTCACAGTAGTAAACCAGTTATGAGCAAACATTAAGAAGCCAAATAAAATGTTGCCATTAGCCTCCACATTGATTCAAACTAGATTTCTTGACCATAATGAAAATTTACATTTTATATTATCCATAGTGCATTGCACTGTATGATGCACACAATGATGAACTTTGTAGAAGATTGTCTATTCTTATGTCCCTTATCTCTCATTTTATTGCCTTTCACCCAAATCTTGCAGGAATGGCTATAAAAGATGTTATTTCACCAAATAAATTGATCCCTTGTGTGAATCTGCATAAATGATGCAGATCTCCAATCAGATTAATCAAGAAAGGGATCAATTAAGTATTTTGGAGCTAGATACATGAATCATAAGTTAAGCAAAGCCTGTTTTAAAAAGAAGACAAATTTATGCATGCATAAATATATGAGCTGACAATTTGTAAATGTCTTACCTACTTTATTTGAACTGCAAGCAGTTCCCAATATGCAGAACTGTATGACTTTTGAATACTGCTATAATAATGTATGGTATTTTCCAAGAAATAAAATAAGCAGAAAAATTATAGTTTTGTTTTGTAACCATTTTTACTGTACTTGGGTTGGTTTTTTTTTTCTTAGCAGAAAGAAATCAATACTTTGTTTTTTAAAAAATGAAAGCAGTGCAGAAGGACTGAATGTGAGGGATGATCGGTTTGGTGAGTACATTGACACCTTCAGAGCAGGGTTGTCTTTGATGTAGCAGTTATCTCCTGTGCCATCATTTTACTCTGCCCTGGAAAACCACATTAAGATGGTGGCCCCCTTATTCTCAGAGTCATGGAGAGAATAGGGCTCATGAAATGAATACTAAATGGTGGACTTTATAGGCTGAATTTTCAAAAAGAGGCACCTAGGTTGAAGCTGCAACACGGTTCTGACCCCATCCACAACCCCTCATTCAAAAACTCATACAGTTCTGCATATTGGGGACTGCCTGCAGTGCAAAGAAAGTGGATAAGATATTTGTAAAGCTCTTCCACAAATGCATAACTTTAGGCATGTGGTAGTGCCATTGACTTCAAATAAACTGCCCACGAGTTTAAAGTTACCCATGTGGGTAACAGCTTAGTTGGTTTGGGGTCATATACAAGTAGACGCTCCAACAAATTTGAATTTCTCTGCAGTTACTTTTATGCATGAATGGGTACATACCAAGAGTACGCTCTTCTATATCTGAATACACATTTGCAGGCATGTAAACTGTTATATGCATGTTTATAGGTGAAACATATGCATCAGTGTATGAAAATATGGTCCTAAGAATCTTTTAAATGTAATTTTTCCGTAAAAATCTATCCTAGAATTTTCTCCCCATCACTGTGTGCTAGAAGTAATATAATAATAATAATTAATAATTTACATCTCTATATTGTAGCACTTCAGAAAGGCTTTCATAGTGCTTTAGAAACATTAATTAAGCCTAACAAATACATCTCTGAGTTAGGTATTATTATACCAATTTTAAAGATAGTTAAGCTTAAAGAAATGTACATAGTGACATACGGTATCACTGAGAGTCAACAAAAAGAACACAGCAGTCCTATCTTCCAATCCTCTCTCCTTAAAAATTAGGCTATATGCTTCATCTTCTCACCCAAACTCAAAGAAAGCATATCTCCCTACCTAAGAGGCAAATTCTGCTGACAGACAAAATTGCACAGCTCTCATTTGCCTCATGTACTAGAAATCCATTTTGTTACCCATCTTTGATTACAAATTTCTATAGGTAGATTCTACAGTGTCAGATCATCAGTGTGTAGGAGCCCTCAATCTCTCTCCTCTAGGGACCAATCCGATGACCCTTACTCATGTGAGGGTCTCCCTGGGTGCACTCATGAATGTAAAAGCTATGGGCTCAACATCTAAAGTATAATACTGAAAGGAGTTATTTTTAAGAATTTCTTTAAGTACGGGTGAATCTCTGGCATCTGAGGGTTTACAACATTCTCAAATTACATTTTCCAAGATCACAGAAATAGTTAAGAACTTTGTTTTTTGCAGTGTACTTTAAACCTGTCTCTTGAATGTGTAAATTCTGCTGAAACCATTATGAATGTTTTCTTTTCCCAGTGCTAATAATCCTTTTTTTGTCCACTTTCTATGGATGATCAGCACAAAGTCAAACACCACCTATGCACTTAACTGAATTTCACTCAAAATATGCATGCTTATCCAAGCAATTGTATAACTTTTGGGGGAGATTGCACTAGAATAAGACCATTTAGTTACTGTTTTCTCATTTAAATGAACCCCAACACAAAAATACATAGGTTTGAAACCACTTTTTTCAGTCTTCTTTTAGTAAAAGATTGATCTAATTAATCTATTTCTCTTGTGCCCACACCTTTGGTATTGCAACATGTCTTTTGAATCCAAAAGGGCAGAACTCCTGGACTAATCCAGCTCATATGAACACGTGTCCCATTTCTTTACACTGTCTCCAGCATAAACTGCAGGAAATATTTGAATGATGGGCTGCATGATCAGAGTCCTGAAAAAAAATCTCATAATTACTTTGCACTGAAATTCTCAATTTTTCTCTTTTATGGTGAGCTGGTCTTTTATGGGTCTCTTCACACAGTTTCATTCATTATCTTCATGGGTCTCATAGAACTCCAGTGTAAATCTTTTGAGGATGGGCTGCTTGTAACAGTGAGTTTTTGAATACCTGTAAACCTTTCATTGAAATACTGTCAAATCAGCAAAGCCAAATTGTGAATCAGATTCATCGTTTCCTTAGCTAGATAAGTACTAGCAAATAGGAGAAAACCTGACATACAGCTGCAGATGCATTTCTCACTGTCAGAAGGCTAAGTGTAGGGCCTTGTTGCTAGTGAAGAAACAAAGACATATTTCATGATGTCAGAATGCCAGGAAGCGGGACACCATGGCTTTCCCCATTAAACAAGCAGTTTGTTGCCAAGGCTTTACGGGAAGATGGAAGACTCCGATTCAGGCATCACCTTCGTTTTTACATTACCTGAGTCAATGAAAGCAGGGCATGTTGTGATGCTGGCACTCTCTGCCTCCAGGGAAGGGACTCCATGAATTGCTCTCACACACACGTCAGTGGTTTTGGAGCAGAACTGCAGACATGGGCCAAAGTTTCGGTACCCTCTTCATAACTGAATGGATATGGCATTGGAGTGGAATCTGCTGTTTTGTATGGTTAATGAGAGGGGGAAATGCAACTCAGGGTGTCAGTGATTCACTCCAGCTGCCATTCTGAGTGGCCCAAAATGACTGTTTCAGAGAGGTGAAGAAGCTGTTGGCATAGTCCCTGCACAGGGGCAGGATGAGTGAGGGAGTGCCCAGTTGTGGATGCTTTAGTTAAAACAATCAGTTGCATTGGACCCTACCACATGGAACATTTGAAGTTACTCACCATGAGTATTTATAAAGGGTTTAATGCAGGTACTCAGTCTCCTTCTAACTGAACTGAGAGGATGTGATTCTGCAAAGTGACATTTAAGAACTAGCCTACATCTTGAAGTTCTCACAGGGCTCAGATTGATGGGTTTTGTTATATTTACTAACTATGGGCCTACTCCTGCAACTCTTACTCACACCGAATAGTACTTATTCAAACAGAGTAGCCCCATTACAGCCAACAAGATTACACACATGAGTACGTATAACTCAGTAGAAGTAAGGATCACAGAATCAAGTTCTCTATGACTTTTGGGGCCATCATTTTGTAAAGAACAAAATAGCTCATATGTTTCTAAACTTCTAAAGCAGTAGGGGAGTGGTACCATTTTGTGCGCCTTTTGCTACTATTAACTATAAATGCTGGAAGCCTGCAAACCTTTTTGAAAAGAGTATGCAAGAACAAATGTTCAATTTAGCATGACATTTACTTTAATTGCAAAATAATCCATAGTCACTCTATAAACAGAAATAGACATTGTTCACAGCATTTCTTTTTTGTTTAGTTGCTATAGGTTTTTTAAAAATAAGTAATTAATTAATTAGGGCAACAGTACTGAGGGCCAAAGATACACATCCTACAAAGAAAAATGTATTGCAAGAAAAATACCAACTGGGGTAGAGCCATGATGCCTAGAGAAAAGCATCAATTAAATTGACAACTTAACCTTAAAAAAACAAACAAACAGACATTCATTGCTGAACTGTAACAGCAAAACAAAGCGTACATTAATATACTTCAAGGAAACAAAAAGCATGAGGGCCAGATAACATCCAGAATCCACCCACCAAGGACGCACTTGCATGTATAGTGTCTGCCCTCCAATCATCAACTTAAATACATGACAATCAACAAGAGTAAATATCACACATACACATTGAATATGAAAGTGGGCCACAAGCAACACCTGGGAAGTGCAGGCATCCTCCCTCCGTTAACACCACTACATACTGTACATGACAATCAAAGAGAGAAAAAAGAAAGATGTAAATAAAAACTGGTCATTCTAAGAACTGTTGCTGATTTTTAAAAAAATAAATGAAAATATTTGTCTGAAAATGATTCACTGTGATTGAAGGCTTTTGCTTACCCCTTTCTGGAGCCCCCCAAATGGGATTGTTGGGAATTTCTGCAGCAGAAAAACAGAAGAGAAAAGGGATTTCTGACTCCTGGTTCAAGGAATAGAGGGTCAAATTGCCTCTGTCTGGGCAAGAGTTTAAGGAAAAACTCCAGAGGCTTGGATCATCCCTGGGTTAAATCTGAATGGATTTAGATCTTACCTCCCCACCCATCAAGTGACTACAGAGAAACTCTACATTATTTAACAAACAGGAAAAAAAAAGACCTCAGTGGGAAAGGGGAAGTAAATGAAAGGGGCAAATAAGCTTTCATTAAAATCTTAATTAAGCTCAAATTCAAAGAAACTTCTGGGAGAACTTGGGACCCTCCTCATCTTGGGTTCACTATTATCCAATATTTATTTCTTCAAACTTCTACCTGCTGAATAGTATTCTGTTCTCAGGGGCTGATTGAAAAACATTTTTTTTCTGTCCTTTTTCACTCTTATCTTATCCTCTACTCTCATTCAGATTTCTTCTGAGATAAAGGAAGTTTTAAGTCATTTCCTTCTTTGTATTTCTCAAATCCCAAATAGTTTACATTTCTTAAATTTCACGTGATGAAGTGGGGATCATAGCTACATTCAAGGATCCTTTTCCTGCTTTGACCACCTATAGTTAATCATGCTGCCTGCAAAACAAACACAATGCCAGACTAGATAGTCTCAAGGCCTTTGCTAGAGGAGGCATCCACAGCTACTTCCCTCACATCAAAGATGCAGTGGCTGGTATGTTTACAAATTTCTGACAATAAACAGGTAGCTGTTTATCGCCTAGAGTGGTGTAGTAGATAGTGGAGAGAAATTCCAATCCTAAGAGTTGCATACAGTATCTAAGGCTGGCAGGCAAACAAGCCTGGGCAATTTACACCTTGATTTCTTGTTGCCAGGAAATTACGTTAAGAAATGAGAGGTGTTCCTAGAAATAAGCAAAGATACTTCTTTTCCAATTCCTATGTTGCTAGGTATATGCTCTACTAATGCCATTTATAGTAGGAGGAAAGACTGGCCATGAAATAAGTTTAAATAATAGTGATTTCTAGTTAGGGATATGAGAACCCAGAAAAATCTGGAATCTGAATTCAAGAACTCTGACCCATACTACTAACTCCTATATTTTCAAAATGTTGCCAGAGGTTTTAGCTATGTGAATCACAACTAATACAGCTGGGAATTGTATAGCTAAAATCCCAAACAATGTTGGGAAAATATTTTTTTCTGGCAGTTTTGGTTGTTACATATTGTGGGAACTCAGGAGGCATTTGAAAGTTGGCTGCTATCAGAAAATTACATAATTTATAGTATGAAATAAAGCTATTTTTCAATACAAATATATATTTTTAACATGACCATGCTTTTTTTCTGCTGGAGCCAGCGTGCACTTTAGATATTGCTAAAGGGCACAGAAACTTGAGAAGGTTTTGACGCATCCAAAATTTTAGCAACTCTCAAAATTCTATTCAGGATTAAGTTCTAAGACTCTAGATCTACCATACACACTTTAAAATTCATCTGTTTTTATCCAGCAGCATAGGATATATGCTTATTACACAAACACACACAATATATACTGCTATTGCATTTTTGTCAAATGTAACTTGCATTTGAGTGCTGCATTTAGAATGATTTTCCAGGCGATTCAGCTGTTTTACTCAAGCGTTCTTCACAGCTGAAGGAGAGACAAAACATGGGCAGTCTTTTTAGTTGAATTAATTTGATTTCTGTCTTTTGTGCTGCCAGCGATCAAGATTGTCAAATAAACCAGCTTTGATTCATAAATAATAGTTCCATTATATCTACTCTGCCACTGGTCAGAGTACCTGAAATTTTAATTCACTTGTTCAGCTAAATTTCATCCTCAGTTCATGGCCATAAAATTCTCTATTGACAAACTTTCAAACCAACTTTGACTCTGAGGTATCTAGTCAACATTTTTCTTCTGTGTGGATATTAGTTTATTGAATAAGTGGCATCTGTTTTCCTCCACATCACTAGTGGAGTAGGTATTTCCTTTTGACAGCTTTCCACGATTTATGGGTTTGCATGCTCTGAAGAAAAATAGTACTAAGCAAAAAATTCCAATTCATTACCTCTTAGTACTTAATTAAGTTCATACACATTGCACACTATAGGTGAACCCTGAAATGACTATGACAGCCACTGAACAGCAAGTTATATTATCTTTGGAAGACAAAGAGACTTTTGATTATCTTGACCTCATTTTTTCATCCATAATATTAATAAACTTTCCTTCTGTTTTGTTCCCTCTAACAGATGTACCAAACCATTCTGAAAACAAGATTATATTCTTGGATATTTCCTTTTGTATGTACGTTTAGGTACCAAATGTTTTTACAAATTGTGAAGTTAAGCAATGGCCATTATCAGCTTACTTCACACAGCCATAGATGTATTATGTTGTACAGGCTCCTCCTAATAATGGTTTAGTTTTGGAAATGATAACAGTCTGATAAAAGCAAAAAGCAGAGGGTCTGGCTACGCATCAATACAGAAATAAAGAGTGCCTGTGTTTTACCTGTCAGGGTTCTGCGTACACACGTGCATCTGTAAGAGGATCCGCTGGGTGAAAGTCTTAAAGCATTGCCCACATTTCCAAAGGTGCCAGTCACTGAACTCAGAATTTAGTTGGCTGGTTGACGTTGGGCTTGCAAGAACTCGTTGGTTTTTGACACTGATCTGGTTAAATCCTGACTCGATAGGCCCAGACTTATCCAGAAGAGAAAAATTTCTGCTACACGGAGTCTGTGGAAATACTATGGATCGCTGTGGTGTGGCAGGGGGTAGTTTGCTACTTTTGTTAAAAGGCTGTAGGGTGTCTGGTCTGGACATGGCCTCCATTACAGTTGAAGGGACATTCACTGGGAGAAAACAAAAAAAGTAAATAAGATCTGCTTTACTATTTCTTAAAACTAATACAATTTGGGGAGAAAATCAAAAACATTCAAAGTCTATTTTTTGCTGACTAGATTCAAACAATTTAATGTTGTTATAACACATATAAAAAGGGCTGGAATGAGACTGCGATCTGAACGGAGAAGCTGGTTCTGCCATGTAGGAAGTTAACTGAAGAGAGATGTAAGAGTTTGTAATGGGCCAGAGAAGAGTGACAAGCGTGGTTAGAAGTATGATACAATAGAATTCACATCTGAGAGAAAATTCTGCAGGTCTTACACTATATCAAATCTCTGTGTTGCAGAAAACAGACACAGCAGTAGTTCCCTTATCCTATCAATGGGCAGTCACTAAAAGCAATATTATACCCTCATTTATACACACAAAGTCTGTACAATACAAATAAGTGTCTTCAGTGTGATTGCTTGCATGATTAAGTTCACGATGAGACATTGGAAAATATATGCCTAAATATCTTTGTACCTCAGTTCCCCACCAATAAAATGGGATTACTAATACTTCCCTACCTCACAGAGGTGTTGATAAGATAGATTGATTAAGGTTTGTGAGGCACTCACATATTTTGATGATGAGCACAATGCAACACATGAGAAAATAAAATTCTGCATTCAGTGCAGCATTTGGATGTTGTGCAGTAAATGAGTCATGGGGAATCGCACACATAAAAGAAATATTCGAGATCTGCCTCATTCCTTGAGCACTGTCCATCTTGTGCACTGAATGAGGCAGGGATTCTGTGGAAAAAATAGTATGTGATCATGTACTTAAAGACTGTATGAAAGCGCACAATGTCACATGGATGTCTTAAATTCTGGTGTTTCGTAACTTTTGAGTGCTTGAATTTGCAACCATAACATTCTTTTAATGTACCATTTGGGGATTTTTCTCTCTCTCTCTCTCTCTCTCTCTCTCACACACACACACACACACACACACACACACACTAC